CGGCAGCGCCGCGAGGGACGCGGGTTGCTCGATCTGCTCGACGATGGCCGCGAAGGGGTGCGCGGCCGCGCCGTCCGGCGGCGCCAGCTCGAGCTCCGAGTCGAGCGGCGGCAGCGGCGGCCGCGCCTCCTTCTCGACCGGCGGCCGGGGCGCCGCCTCTGGAACCTCGTCGTCGACCGGCGCGTGCTGCGACGCTTCCTTGTCGAGGCCGAGGACCGCCTCGAGCGACTCCTCGGCGGCGGCGGCGGGGGCGGCGTCGTCCGCGCTGGCGCCGCGCGCGAGGCACGACGCGTCCGCCGCGCCGAAGCACGCGCAGGAGGCGAAATCCGGCGCCGGCGGCGCGCCGCGGTCCTCGTCGTCCGGCGCGCCCTCGACGTCCGGAGCGACGCTCGCCTCCGCCTCGCCCTCGGCGGCGCAGCAGAGCCTCGCGAGCCGCGGAAACCGCGCGCGGACCGCCTCCGGCACGGGCCCGAGCACGTAGGCCTCGAAGAGGCGCTCGAAGAGCGCGCACAGCGGGAACGACACCGCGAGCGTGAGCGCGAGGAAGACGAAGCGCCGGTAGGACGTCGAGTAGCCGTCGCCGGGCTCGATGGCGCCGCAGGTCTGGGAGCAGAGGTCCCAGGCGCAGGCCGGCTTCGTCAAGGAGTCGCGCGCGGACGCGGACCAGAGCGCGCGGATCGTCGACTTGTCGAGCGCGTAGACGCGCGTCCCCTCCACGCAGTCGTGCTCACTGTCGTAGGACCCGCAGCCGCCCCGGGGCTCGGGGAACTCTAAATTGCTCTCGAGGGCCGAGCAGAACATGAAAACCAAAATCTCGAAGAAGACGAGGACGGCCCGCGCGCCGCGGGGCGCGCCGGGCCGGTGCACCGCGTAGAAGCTGAGCACGGGGTGCCGCGTCAGCAGCGCGTAGGAGCAGCGGTCCCAGGTCGTCTGGCGGTAGAAGGGCCCCGTGCGGCCCAGCGTCTGCTGGCGGCTCAGCGTCGGCCGCGCGGACTCGCGTTTCCACGAGTCCTCCCGCGCGTCCAACCGGTCGAGGCGCCGGCCCCAGGCGACGGCGGCGACGCAGCCCAGCGCCGCGGCGCCCAGCGCGACGAGCATGACCGCCGCGCGCGCGAAGTCGGGCTCGGCCGCGAGCACGTCCGCGTACGTCGACGCCATCGCCAACAGCCGCGACCGCAGCGACGCGTCCGCCGCTTCTCCCGTCGCGAGGTCGCAGGTGCACATCGTCGTCCCGTCGACGACGGACGTCTCGCAGGCCGGCGCGAAGTCGAAACCGTCGTAGATGGCGCAGACGCCCGTCTCCAACAGCGGGCACGACACCGCGTACTCGCCGGGGACGCCGTCGCAGTAAAACACGGTCGCGTTGCGGTAGGGCCCGCAGTCCGCCGTGACGTTGCCGTAGTAGCCGCAGGGGCAAGTCACGTTCGCGACGCTCCGGACGCGCGCGGGCGCGCGCGACGCCGCGGCCGTCTCGCCGTAGTCGCCCGACGGCACCGACAGCGCGACCGTGAGGTTCGTCGACGCCCCGGCGAGCCGCCGGCGGGTCGCGGCGCCGT